CTATCATCAGGAGAACAGATCAACAAACTATAATATATGCAAGCAATAAACTTTTATTCACCTATGAGAATTAACAGTCTACTGTCTATGCAAGCAACATGGAAGAAACTTACAAGCATAACGTTGAGTGAATAGTGCTGGACACTAAAAAGTATATACATGACTCCATTTGCACAAAGTTAAAAAACAGGAAAATCTGTTCCATGAGGGCCGGAGTTGGGAGATGGCTATATTTAGCCTACATTTAGTGAGGTGACACTGACTAGTAGGGGCTAAAGGAGAGGGTGTTTCAGACACAGTAATATTTTATTTCTTGATATGCTTGGTGTTTTCCAGAGTTATTTGCTTTGTGAAAATTAACCAAGCTGAACACTTTTAATTTGTATATTTTTCTGTAGTAATGTTAAACTTTAATATAAAATTTACTTAAAAACTTAGTTACAAAATATAATCAAGAGCAACAAAAAGCCAATCTTAAAACACCTAAGTATCAGCATCTTGGCATTGAGGCCCATGAAGTAATCCCAAGGTTTCAGGTGTTGGTGACTGGAAAGCTGGACTTGCTTCAAGTTTATGACCATAAATCTCAGAAGGCTCTCAATGCAGCCAGATAATCCAGCTACACTTCTTTACTGCATCCACATTCCCCTTGAGACACTTTATTAACACCTTCCCTGCACTCTTCACACTGCCAACACCCTCTCAACCAATGACCTCCCACATGCCTCACAGAGAAAGTAGCCCTAAACTATAGAAGAACCCCCACATCCCACCTCCATCTGCCTACCAGCCCACCTGTCTCCACCCACATTTGCCACCTTCCCTCCAGATCCCCTGGATGAAATGGTGCTTTCATCTCATCCCATTTCAGCTTCCATCCTCTAACATCAATTTCTTCCTCTCCATGGAATCGAAACATGCCACAAATGTCAACATCTTTTAAGAAAGTTGCCCTTCATATTGTATGAACTGACACTATTCCATTTCTCCACTTCCCTTCCAGCAAGTTTTCAGTCATTGCTGTTTGTCTTCTATCCCTCTTGTTTGTCTTTCTTTCTTTCTTCTTTTGTCTTTTGGAGACAAGGTTTCACTATGCAGTTCAGGCTTGCCTTGAACTCACTTTGTAGCACAGGCTAGCCTCAAATTCAGTGATCCTCCTGCCTCACCCTCCCAAGTGCTGGGATTAGAGGTGTGCATCATGGCCCTCCTGTTCTTTCTCCAGCCCTTCTTGTCTGGCCTTAATCTCTAGGCTACTAATTAACTGTGTGTTACCAAACTCAGTGGCCTCTTCTCATTTCTGTGCTCATCTCATCCTTGGAAGCATTGGACCAAGATGACTTCTCCCCATTCTGTTGTTATTTATTGCTTGCTTTCTTTCTTTCTTTCTTTCTTTCTTTCTTTCTTTCTTTCTTTCTTTCTTTCCTCTCTTCTCCTTTGTTCTCTCTCTCTCCCTCTACCCCTTTCTTTCTTCAGTGCTGGTGATCAAATGAAACCCAGGGACTTGCATATGCAAAGCAAGAGCTCTACCAGTGAGCTATATTCCTAGCCCTCCATGAGTCTCAAAACACCTTCTCCTAACTTCCCCTATACCACCCTCTCCTGATTTTTCCTCCTAGATTTCTGGTTGTTGTTTCCCAACCTTTTTCTCCTCTATGAGACTTTCAGAATTGGCCTCCCTTAGGATAAACCCTAGTTCCCTTAACTATCTACACTATCCCTGGCTGCAAGGCCTCCTATAACATTTCTACCTTTAAGTCTCAGGGTTATATCTCCAGCCTCAGCTCTTTTCCTGAGCTCTCATCTCAAACATCTAATTGTGAAGATACGCCAGGTATCTCAACATGGTTCAACCAGAAAACTATTGATTCTGTTTCCTCCATAAAACACATCCACTCAATCACTAGTCTTCACCATATCTGTAAAAGGCATCATGGATCATGAGTTATTTAAGCCATAGAATGCGGGAGTCGTCCTTAACTACCTTTCCTCATACCTTGTACCCAACCAAATCACTAAGTCCTGCATGGATTCAGAATTTCCTGTCTCCATAGCCATCTCCCTTCTTCTATCAAAGCCAGTTGTGCTATCTAATTGGTCTGCCAGCCCCAGCATTTGCCTCAAGAGTGACACTGCTGAAGAGTACAGAAGATCATGCCATCCTTACAAAAGGCCCCTCAGCATTATCTCAGGGCTACAGGAAGCAGCTGTCTGAGGATGGCGTAGCCAGAAGACGGTATGGGGCATGGTGATCTGAGGAGGAAGGTTATAGGGGAGGTACAGAGGCACGCAGACAACCTCAAAGGGGAGACAAAAAGGAACATGGCTCATCCTTAGGTTTCCTCTCCCTTGGAAACGCCGAAGCCTGGGAAAGTGGAAAGAAATACACAGAATGTAGCTGATGCCACTGGTAGCACCTGTGCCCTGAGGACCCCAGAGGCAGTCCTGTGCATACTCCAGGCTCTTTGCACCTCCCTCTTCCCAGCCCTGCGAGCATGCTGGTGTCATATACTGCATAGGCCCCAGAAGCTAGCGCGTTCATGCTCAATGCTATCTCTTGTCAGCAAGGGGCAAAAGTTGTACAGAAACATTCCTGCTTTTTGGGATCCCAGTGGAACACATCTGAAGTGTGTGAACTGGGGGCCCTCAGCTGGACTGAACCACTGCTGCCTGCAATGTTAAGCAGCGCACAACAGGTATTAACTTCTTCTTCCTTCTCTGTCTCACTTCCCCACTCCCTCTCGGTCCTTTTTTGGGAGCCCCCTCAAACTACTTGTATGGAAATCTTTGTCTCAGGCCCTGCATTCTGGGGAACCCAAAGTAGGACACATAAAATTGTGCTTTTATACCTGAAGGTAATGCCTTGTACGACATTAGCTAAAAACAATGTCATCCTAAATTTAAATGGATGAGGAGAGCGTACACAAAGAGTAGAGATGGAATTTCAAAAAAAATTTTTAAATAATAGGATACTTTTAGTCCCTCTCTGGGTATTATATTAGTCCTGCCCTTATTTACTCATGTATAAATAGTCATAGACAGAATATTTACCAACTATGTATACACTAAAGATCCTGCTTCTGTCCATTAACCTTTAGTTTAACACTCCAAACAGTTAAAAGGATTCGAAAGGAAGATATCAAACTCAGGATATTCAGCTACTCAATACAGCCTCCAAAGAAAGAGCAGAGCGGAAGACATCTTCTACTATGGCACTGAGTTTCACTTGTGTGAAATCTGTTTAAGGGGAGGTGTGATCACACACACACACACACACACACACACACACACACACACACACAGAAGCGCGCGCACGGGAAATGTATGCACTACCCAGCAGCCTGCAGAACTTCCCTCTAGTTCTTTTGAAGTGAGATCACCATTCCCCCCAACCGCACTCTCCTGTTGAAAGTGAAGGGCCCGTCCCTGCTGTGTGGTTTGGGGTAAAAAGGAGGCAGGATTAAAGCTCTCATTTCCAGTCCCAAAAGTAAAATACGACTTGGCCTACGGCAGTCCTAATTCTTTCCAGAACTCATCCCCGGAATTGCCCTTTTAAACAACCAGTCATTAATCCAACCCCGGGTCTTTTATAGCTGCGAAAACCGATCGCGCACATCATTTATTCATTACGCTTATTATTATTGTTATTGCAGAAAAGCAGTGAATTCCCGGGGCGGGGTTCAAAGGGTTTCTTGGTGAAGGAGGAGAAAGGGGGGAGAACGCACGGGCAAGCAGAGACCGCGAGGAGACAGGGCTGGATTGCTGGACGGAGGTGCACGGAAATCCCCAGGGAAGGCTGCAGGGAAAGCGCTGTGGCCCGGTGCGCTTGGAGGCCGCCTCGCACCAGCGCAGCTGCTGCAGCAACTAAAGAAGCTTCTTACGTAAGTCGGAGTCGCTGACATCACCTTCCCCGAAAGGATCGCAGCAGAATTAGGCATCAAAGGACCCACACACCAGCCCAGCAACTCTGTCTACCACCTGGGTCATTCATTCCTAAATGACTCCTCCGCGGCTAGATTTGGGCGACCAGTGCACCTGGGAGCTGGCCTGCGCGCCCCTTAAAGAGCAGATGACACAGAATGACTACTTATCACCAGGAGCTCTGGGTGTCGCAAGAATGAAGCCAAAGCGCTGCAAAGATGCCCCAGGGTCTCCCAGACCTCCTTCCTCTGCTCTTCCCGGAGCCTGCCAGGCAGACTGATTCATACCTAAATCAGATTTGGGCGACAATGCACAGGGGCGCTGGGAGGAAAGCCTGCGGAATCCTCAGGGGCAGATGGCACAAAAGCCATTTAGGGGGGATCTTAGGTTGTTCAGGGCAAAAAAGATGCCCGAGGGTCTCCTCGATCTCACCTGGACCCAAGCTCTCCCCCACTCCCCGCGGTCCCTCCCGACCACAAAGGTTTTCAGTAGAGCGCCTCGGAGTTCACTCCAGGAGGCGAGCAACACCGCGCTTTGTCGCACACCCGCGGCGCAAAGCGTAAGTTCGGGGCCCGGGGCAGCCCCTAAGGTCGCGGCAAGAGTGACAACACCACTGTAGTGCTGCAGAAGTCCTTTTTAAAAGGACACCCACCACTTCTCAGGCCCCTGGGTGGATTACGGGGTTGGGCTGGACTGCTGGAAGCCACAGGAGTTGCACTCCTCCTCAAGGACACGAAAGGCGAATCCGAGAGATGAATGGCAGATCTTTGCTTCTTGTTCCCCTAGAAACGCTCCCTATCTGCCCGTTCTCAGCCTACAGACGTCTGTGAGTTGTAAGGCCACCCTTTTAACTTTCTGACCTTCTTGTCTGTAGCCTTCGGGGAGCAGTCTGGCTACTCAGTCCCGGGAGAATTGGGGTGGGTCTTAGGGCCGGGAAGAATGGAAAAGCGAGAGTAAGGTGCAAGTTGCAGCAGGCTTGGCGCCGCGGGGCTGGGATTGCGGCGACCGGGGAGGGCGCGAGGGTGCGGCGCAAGAGCTTAGCGCCCCGGGGACAGACAGGGTTGGGGGGGGCGGGTACTCACGCACTGCCTCCTGCTTGGGGTCCAGCGTGCCGAGAACTCGTTGCACGCCGCCGAGCTTGCCCTGCAGCGCCCAGACGCGACGATGGGTGAGCTGAATGTCGCTCTCGAGCTCCTGGAAGAGGCTGCACGCGTGCCGGGCCACGTCCGAGAGCTGCCGGAGGACGCGGGCCAGCGCGGCGTTGCTGAAGGCGCACAAGTCCAGCATGAGCAGCACAGCCGCGGCCGCAGCCGAGGACGCCTCGCCAGCAGCGGGCGCCGCCGCCTCCGGGACCCCCGCCGAGCTGTCCTCGCTGGCCACAGGCGCCTCGCCTTGAGGTTGCTGAGCCTGATTAGCTGGCGCAGGCAGCGGCGGCGAAGGCGGTGGCAGCCCGAGAGGCAAAGAGGGCACGCGGGGTGGCTCCTCTGGCCCCGGCGCTTCGGCCTCCTCCTGCCGGCCAGGCGGCTGCAGGGGCGGTGTCGGTTCAGCGCTGCCTCCACTCGCGTCCTCCTCTGGGCCGGGCGCCGGGCGCCGCTGCCGGCACAGCCACTGCGGCTCCACGATCCGCTTGGCGAAAGGCATCCCGCGCAGCCGGGTCGCGACTTTCTGTTCTCCGAGCTCCCCTTGCTAGCTGGGGACCAGGCGCGCCCACCTGAGCAAGGGTAGGGCAGCAGTCGGCGAGGCTCGATCCGGGCAGTCCAGAAACGCCAAGGGGCTGCTTTGCTCACCTGGCCCCCTCCTCTTCCCAGTCCTCTCCCTAGCAAATCAGTCCAGCCGGTCTTCCTCTAGGCGCACGGTTCCCTGGGGAGAATGACAAGCTCCGGGCACAGAAATCCCGGGGTGCGCCTGGGCTCTCCTCACTTGCTTCCAACACGAGTCGGGTGGCTCAGCTCCATGGTTCGTGCGCTCACTGTCGTGGCCGCCGTCTATATAAATGGGCGTGTGTGTGTGCGTGTGTGTGTGTGTGTGTGTGTGTGTGTGTGTGTGTGTGTGTGTGCGCGTGTATGTATGGGTGGGTGTGAGTGTGTGCGCGCGCCACAGTTTAAAAGTACCCCGGCGCAGGCCTCTCCCCGCGCGCCCCTCGGCCGCTCCGGGGAGCGATTGCGCCCAGGATCTTTCTCCCTCTCTGGGCGGGGAGGCGGTTTGGGAAAGGCGCTCTGAAAACCCGGAGAGAGGAATCCGCCTCCAGCCCAGGCTCAGGAGGCGGCGCGGGGGCTGCGGGGCCGACGCTGGGCGGGGGAGGCCAGGGCGAGAAGGGCGCAGCGCCCTGGGCGACCGCTGGGAGTCACTAGCGGCCTCGGCGAGCCAGGGTTCAGGCGCAAAGAAGCTTCCTCACGTCCAAAGGGGTTAGAATATAGGCCAGCGGTCCTCAAGTTGGGAGTGAGAGTGATGATCAGGATCGTAGAGGAAAGATGCTGGGGTATTCGAGATGCAGAAGACTTGACATGTTGCTTTGTTGAAGTGCAACTCTGTATGTCCTTTGGGTTCTTAGAGCGAAACCTAGGTTCTTCTAAGTGCCCCAGGCTCTGTGAGCTGGGAGAAACGGATTGGATGGCTGAAGTGGCAAGGGCTCATCCCCTTGCAGCCAAGTGGCCAGAGTGTTCTTTATTCCCATACCTAGGCATCATGGGAAGGTCTGCACTGGGCGAGGTCTCTAAGTATCGTGACTGTGATCCAAACTACCAAAGAGCAAATCCCCTGCCTCCGCAACACTGCTTGCAAAACTTATTGTACATTAGGTGAGATGCTTCTGATCACCTCCTTGTCACCCCACTGTGTTAATCATACACAGGATCTTTCAAATTCTCCATCAGAGAAATGACAATTTGATTCACAGAAGAATGAAAAGATTTCCCCTTCAGTTAACTGAAAGGTGTAATTTCTTAAAAGGCATACATTTTCTATTGCCATAGTCTGCAGGCTGGAGGCTGCCAGCCTAAAACCTGAAAAGAGTTTGGGAAAAGTTAAGAAAGTACATGCTTTCATCCCTCCAAAACGTATACTGTAAAAATATTTTTTTTTAATTTTAAAGCCACAAGCCATATCTTGGGAATGCAGCCTTCATTTCATGTGTCTAAAGAGAACGTGGAAAAATTGTTTTATGGCAACAATAAAGTCCTCCAGACCTGTGGTGGTGTCTCTCCTGCCATCCCTGCCTTTAGCAGGAGACATGGCATAAGATAGAACAGTCAGCACTATGGACTGGCCTACCTTTTGGTTATAAAAGCTTCAACAGATCCTTGTCATATTTTATAGAAAAAAATAATATTTTTGGCAAATGAATATCCTCATTTATAAAAAAAATCCAGACTGGACTGGAGCTTTGGAGGTAAAAGGCCACAGTGTCGGCAAGGTACTAATAAATGACTCAGTAATGAGAATGGTGATAAAAATTTCAGAGAGAGAGAGAGAGAGAGAGAAAGAGAGAGAGAGAGAGAGAGAATATGGCAGAATGTTCAAAATAGTGAATCTAGGAAAAGGGTATAATGAAGGTCACTGGAAACTTTAAAATTGGTTTTGTTTCCAAATAAAAAGAGAAAGAAGAAATTTTGAACAGTTTTAAAGCATTTGCTCTTTATCTCACAAATCTAAAATGTGGAGAGATGGCCTGTTTAAAATTTATCTTCGAGTTTCTAACATGTTCACAATTCTGAGTATGAGTTCTGCCAAGTGGGCAAGCCATTCTCTTCTCCCTCCACACACTGAAGGAACAGAACAATGCCAGAAAATGAAAAGCCTCCAGGGAATGAGCCTTGTGGCAAATCTTCCCTACCTCCCATTGCCCCACACCCTGAGCTATCCTGTTAACAACATCCATGGGACCCGTCGTCAAGCAGCTCAGCTGCACTGACACAGACAATGTGTGACTCATTCCTAATTGGAGTTCTGGGTCACTGGTGAGTTCCTTCCAGGGACCAAATGAGATGATCTTAAGCAGAAGCCAAAAATCCTGGAGAAGGAAGATTCCAGAAGGTAATTAAGTTGAAGAACACTTCTCATCTTCATGTATATCCCAAAAGTGGCCAGCATAGACTCAAATCATAATTACAAAAACGATTCAAAGCGCTGTCCAGCTATGCAAAAAGGAGAACTCTCTTTGTAATCTCCTGAACTCCTACTCGTGTACTAATAATGCCATTGAGTTAAAAATAAAAAACTTGGACATTGGCTTTTGATCTTCTTGGTTCTCATTGTTCCCTCTTTTTTCTATGGTAATCCCCAGTGTCCCCTCCAGGACAACTTCCTTCAAAGTAACCAAAAATAAAAGTAATATAAATGTTACATTCATTGATATAGTTGGTTGATGTACTCTCGTTGTTCTGTAGCTTGTGAACAAAGGTATTTTAGAAAGCTGTGATTGTTGTATATTAGTAGCACTATCTAAATAAAAGCTGGGCCACTTGTGAGAAGGAAGTTTAAGAAGCCTCCTGGCTGCTTCTTTCCCCTGCCCACTTCAAGTCCTTCCTGTGTGGTTCACCTCTTCCTGTCCTGTTTTCGGTTTGGCTCCTGCTTTATAGAATTAGGGCATTTAAATATAAAAGTAAGCACATATAATTCTGATGGGATGTATTAACAGTGTTAATTCTGATGAATTTTAAATACACTCAGGCTGTGTATTTCTTAAGTCCCAGACTGCACCATGTTACTCTCCCACAGAGTTTGACAAAGTCAAAGCTGCTATCTGAAACCAGACTATTACACCCAGTTAAGTGTGTACATTAATCTCCACTGACCTCAACACACACAGCCAACTATCTATGTACACGTATTTATTCTCCACGGCTTATAGCCAAAATGGAAAGGGAAGACAGCATTTAAAAATGGCCCCAGCCAGTAGTCACTCGTGCAGCTCAAAAGCTGCTCAATGTGCAGTCAGTATAAACCTTGGTCCACTGTAAAATAAATGAAATATCTTGTCTGTATCTCCATGGCCCACATTTAGACTCCTGCCTTATCTGGTCTAGTAAGAAGTTTATTAAAGGATAGGACCGACCCTGAGAGCGCCATAAGGTGCCTCAGCCCTTGGCCTGGCTGTTCCTATGATTTCGTAGAACTGTAGTCAAATTTCCTTTAGAATCTCACAAGCAGCGAAGCAGAGATTCCTAAAAGGCCATTCAATTTTTTTTTATTCAGCATCGATGCTACAGCATCATTACTTATACTTAAATTTTTTCTGTTATCTAAGAAATGTCAAGAGATGCATGACGCACATTAACACAATCTTTTAATTGTACTGACTGAAGTCTTCTTGCAGCCAATTGCACTTATTCCTCTCCTAATCCCTTTAGCTCACTCTTAAAAGTTCTGCCACTAAGTAAGAAGCTGTTAAAAAATACTTCCACTAATTTTATTGGGGAAAATTATAAGCATTCCATCCCAATCTAAGTTACTAAGTCGTTTCACAGATAGAGAAGCATATCAAGTTTGTTTCAATAAAACCCAACAATTTGAAAGTAAATGAATAAGGCTTGTACATCAAACACAATGTTATAACATCTCGGGAAGGAGGGAGAGCAAATTGGAAAGCCAGTGGTGAAGAAAGAGAAGAGAGAGGTGGTCATTCCAGGGACCTTGTGGATGAATCATATGGTTCACATTGAAGCAGAAAACTTTTTGGAGTTCATGGTTAACCTATACTTCAACCACATTAAGAAATACAGTTACAGCATAGAAAGATATCTCCAGGGAAAAATGACATTTAAAGATGAGAGCCTTAAAACATATGGGAGGAGACTCACATAAAGGATCGGAGGTTGTAGATGTTACTTACCTCTCTCTGGCTTGCATCAGGAAGCTACCACCTTCCTACTCCCCAGGAGACTCTCCCAAGTTACAGGTGAGCTGCTGAACTCTGAGTCACCAAACTCTTATCTACTCTCCCAGATGACTGGGAGGAAGCCAGAGCCCCTAGTTATTTGCTATCATGTCTGAGGGAGCGAGCATTCTTCCATATGTGTGGTTTATGGCATAAACATTATGTCCAATGCCTTCATAGCATTGTTTTTCAAGCTCAAAAGTTCAAGTTTTTCCTAGTTCAGAAACTTTGGATTTGGCTTTCTGCACTGGTGTTCCTCCAAAATAGCAGGAAAAATTATATCCATTAATATATTAAGCCATGACAAACATAAGTACGTTGACAGCAATGTTGCTAACGTATTGAGAATAAAGTTCAAGAGAAGAAAAAGACTGTATACCACTATGGGAAGTTTTCTGTTGTTTTACCTTGTCTTTTTCTTCCTCATTTAGTATATCAACTATGAAGGATAGTGGTGTCTTTCTTCCTTGTACCGACAGGGAAACATGGGCTGGAAAAAAAAAAAAAAAAGATGATATCAATGGTTTTCCCGAAATGCCAAAACTGAATTCAAAGACTATTCCAAGCAGCCTTTTATCTTCCCATGCAGGGAACTGTTGATTACTCACATTGTTTCCAGTGGGAGAAATTCTTCTTTCTTATCTTCAAAAATTCTACCCTCACATTTTACAACTGAATATAATTAACATGCCAAATCTGGATCTAGTCAGAACTGTGAATACATAACTCAAAATAAGTGACAGAGTTAAAGCAGATGGTGATAGCAAAACAACAATGGCGTTTCATTCACGTATTCCTTTGGTTACACAACAAACATTCAGTAAATGCTTGCATTTGCTGAGTGCAAACATTCATTGGGTGCTCAGGCCTCTATGAGATGATGGGAATATGAAAGGAAAGAGGACATAAACATCTCTCTCAAAGGGTGCAGTGCAGTGGGGGTAGACAGGCATGTAAACAAATAATTGTAGTGCGACACAGGCAAGCTATAATCGAAGTAAGAATTAAGTGCTATTCAGAATCCCAGGGTAATTTGCATCATGGGGGTGGGGGAGCAGACTGGAGCAGGGATTGGAAGAGAAACCTCGTTCTTAAAGCTTAAAGAGAGACTTCGTATCATCTCAAGGTTAGAAAGCAAAACCATGTGGCGAAAACCATGCAGCTTCCAACCAGCTGCAAAAGAAGATGTGCTGCTGACTAGAATCATTAAATGGCGCTTCCAACCAACCTTTTAAAAATCCCTGAAATCCAGGCAGTAGGAGAGAGAAGGCGGGAATTATGTTGCCTTTTGTTTTTTTCAAGCTGACTTGTAATTTTCACTCTCTGGCAGGGCTCAGTTTATAGAGAAGTGGGAAATTTTTAATATATTCGCTATAAAGAATGTTTTCAACTGGGTAAGATGAACCACAGTCTC